TCTTGGGTAGCCAGAGGACAGATGCAGCAAGTCTGGAATATCCTGTGCAAGTTGGGATATACACATGAGTCCAGAATGACTGTTTCTGTGCAGTGGCCCTTTGCCCATGAGTCCCTGTCCTCTGGTGTGATCCCCCAAAGGTGCTTGTAGCCAAGTCTGTAGTGTAGGCTCCACTAATACAGAATTTCTGGCTTGGCTCAGTGTTGTGTTTACCTTTTGATGATCTGCCCCTGTTCTTGCTGACTGGAATCTGCAGGCTGTGTTCTTGCAGCCATTCTCACAGCCACTGCTGTGCAACTTCCCAGGGGAGGAAGAGGGACATGGTGATGGTTTTGGGAGCAGTCTGGGGATAGCTTGTTCTCCCTCCAATCCATGCAGATTACTGCATACATCTCTGGCTTAAGGATTTGAGGGATGCCTTCCTTGAGGATGTCACTGAAGATGACTCTAATAGTAGGGAAAATAATAAAAGAAGACAAGATAGAGCAGGTAGAAAAATCTGAAATGAAAAAATTCCTGGACTTATGGAAAAGACCATTTGTTGAGCAACACAAGATACTGCAGTCAGGCTGCCTGCAGGTTTAAACCTGATTTGAATCCTGCTTTTTCACTGTCATCAGTGAGCTGGAGGAATGAAGCAAGGTCCAGCCAAAGCAAGGACCAGATTGTGAAAGGATTTTAGGTGCCTTCACATGCAGGCAGGCACCTACCAGGACTTTACAAGTCTCCGTGCAGTAGAAACCAATTTCACTGAGCTGCTGAACACCTTTAGGATTGTGGACAAGAGTGATCCTAAAGCCATATGCAGGAACTGAGTTGTAGAAGATGAACATTTAACATGTGTGTTCCCTGATCCCAGAAACAGCAAGGAAAGTTTCAAATCAGGAAGGCCAGAGGAATCCCAGATGGCAAAGGAATCTGCAGGGTGCAGAGGAAATCCTGCTGCTCTCCCAAGCAGGAGCAGTTTGCTGCTCTGCCCTCATATTTATCTCAAACTCACCATTTGCTTGTTATAAACACTGTTCAGTCAAACGTGTCATTCAGGAGAGAAGAATTTGATCTACTTGCAGTAAGAATTTGTCACTTGAGAGGTGTCTGAATTCCTCTCTGGATTCATTTGCATGTTTTAGCAGTCAATCAATGACAGTTCTGCCACAAGACCATTTCTCTTACTTCTTAACAGAACTTGTCACTGGCAAGTTACATCTTCAAGCCATCTTTTGTGTGTTTTAACATTTTAAGTGAAAAAGTAGTAATTTACTTCACAGTGTTCACTTTGAATGACTTAAGCATCACAATAAAGGATTTACAAAAAGAATGTTGTGTTACATTGCCTGCAAAATCTGATTATTTTCTCCCTGGGAGCAGGGGATGGTGAACTGAGGGATGTTTTTGACAGCTGTATGTGCTGAATCGCTATTCGGAGGAGCCAGATCCATCCATCGACTGTAGAGGGAAGCAAAGACAAACTGGCTTCCCAGTCCGCCTTCTCTCCCCCTCGGATGCCCATGTTTAGGTGGGACAGACGCACGCCCTGCTGCACGCTCTGCCCTTCCAATGCCCGTTCTGTCTAAAGGTAGCAGGAATTCTGCCCTCCCGGGAGTGTCCTAAATTGAATTTCTTACGGCATGATGGTGGTAAAAAATCCCAAAAATGTAGACAGTCATGAACGCGAGCTCCAGCAAAGGCTGCTATGAAATGTTTCACGCTTGTTTTCCCAAATCCAGGACCGCCCCCTCCTGGCGATCCGGGCCGGGCCAAAGCGCAGGGACAGCGCCGGGATTTCTGCCTGCCTGGGATGTGCCAACTCCGAGACCTCCCTGTGCAGCTCAGAATCTCCATGGCCGCCCTACAGACATAGCGAGTTCTAGAATTAAATGCCCGAGGCGGCAGAAACACAGCGCGAGTGACAAAATGAATTGTTTAATCTTCCTGCTTGGTAGCAGATAAACGGCAAATCAGATTTTATCTCTTCTTAGTGAAGTGGAAATTATGGGGATGAACAAACTCCTAAAAATAACAGAATAGCTAAAAGCTCTGCTTTCTCTAGAGTGAATGTAGCCCTTTGGGAAAGTGCAACAAATACCATCTGTGTTTCCAAAACTCCGAAGTTAATTTGTTGCAGACGTCTCCGTATTTACTGAAAATGGACATATTTTGTGTGGCAGAACAACATCTTGCAGTGATGAAAAATAACTCCCATCCAATTAGCTCCAAAGGGGGGTTTACCTGAAAAAGCTCGGTTTAAAAGATCACTTTGTTTAAATCAGCCATCAAACCTATCTGTTGGGGTTTTTTCAGTTGGTTTCATACACATATTGACAGCTGTTCACAGAGGAAGCTGAGAGGGGAAACTGTGAAGGAGTTGTGACATTTATGACAGATATATTTTTCTGGTTATCAGACAAGAAGTGTAACTTACAAATAGCTAACACCCTGGTGATGTTTCTTCAGAATGGACAACTCCACAGGCTTTCCAGGCAATCTGTTCTTTTCACCGTCCCTTTTAAGCACTGCTGTTGCTTGTAGTTCATGTTCGGTGTAAGGGATAATTCAGAGGATATGCTTTCCCATCAAAATGTTTAACTGGAATTTAAAAAGGATCCAGAGTGTCATTCTGAGATGATGCAAATGAGTATTTGCTTTAAAACAGCATATTTGATGGGAAGCCAGGGGAACTGAGTACAGTACTTCAGCTGACAACAGCTAAGCATGTTTGTTTTAAACTATGGCTGGAATTGGGCCACAAAATACAGAATACAGATGGAAATGTGGATCTGAATTTCTGCAATGCTTGGTGTGCAGTTTGGGTCTGTTGCAAAGGCAAGTTTGGAACTAGATTTTAGTCTAACTTTTTCGAAGTATAGTGGGGCCCCAAATGTTATCCTGTGAAATTCACAGAAGGAGGCAGCACATGGGAAGCTGAGGCACTGTGGTGCTGTGATTTAATATTTGACTGCAAAGATTTAATATGTTTATTTTCTCTTGTACTGCTTGGACTCTGAATGATTGAGAGCTCATCCAAGCATCAGCTGCTCCTGTGGCAGCAAAAATCCCCTTGAAGAGCTGTTACTTCACTTTATTTCCCATACAATTGGGTTATGAGAATGTAGAAAATGTGGAGTCATTTGGGCAAGCAATGATGCAAACACAAAGAAGCGAGCCCTGGAAGGCAGCGCTGTGGCAGAGGAGATGACAAAGCCAGGCACTGTCACTGCTGAGACGGGTTCAGTGCAGAAAAATGTTTCTGGAATGCATATGTGAGTCCTTGTCCCTGGCTCTTTGTTTGGGAGCTTACATCAATACTGCTACAACACAGATTCCCAATAAGCTGAAACAAAATAAAACATGCATTCATGGGAGCATTACCATTCAAGAGCACAGATTTCCCAGTTAAAATGAAGGTCAGTCATAAATTACATCTCTGATTCCCTCAGGATTTCTCTCTCATGCTCTGTTTTGGCAGTTTAAGACCCCTTTGAAATTTGAGCAAGGCTTTCCCTTTGCACATCTGATCTTGATTATGGTTTATGGCAATGGTAATTCGTTACCTCCCCAAGGCAGCAATCCTGAGAAGGAAAGCAAGTACAGTATGATTGTTTAGGAGAGAGGCACACTGCACTGTGTTTTAACCATTTCTCCATTTTAGAGCTGTGTCTCTTCCCCACACATTGCCCTTGCACACAGCAACACCATGAGCTCCTCCCATGGGAATGCTCCACATCCACATCAGAGAAATCACTGTGTCTGGAGGCACAAAAAACTAGGTTGCATATTTACCCATCAGAACAGTGACCTCTGAGAATAAAGTTATGGTTTGGATACATTTTTAGATGCTGTTTTGTGGTGAACACAGACTAATGAGGTATCAATAAGCACCAAAGTTTCTCTTCCAGCTGTAAAGGTCCCAGGGGTTGCCCTCCCCACCTCTTTTTTTAAAAAATGAAGTTTCATAAAAAAAAAACATGTTCTTAATCAGTTTCTGGAATGCAAGTCTGTGAAAGGGGGATGTATTTCCTCATGGATCAACTTTGTGGCAGCCAAAAATATACTGTGGCTTTGCATGAAGGAACGGGATGAATGAAACTGGGGCTTGCACTGCTTTTCTGTGTATGCAAAAGGCAGAGGCAAATGTTCCAGTTGAAAGTGTACTGAGAGCATTTGAGACAACATGAAGGTGGCAGAAAATGATGCCTGTGTGCTTTTTCTTGTGGGTGGTATGAGGCGTTTTGAGGCAATTACAATTGCAGTAAGATACTCCATGTCAGTTTATAAGATACACCTCATTCTTTTATGGCTTTCACTTTTCTGGCTTAGTTCTACTAGCAGTTCCTTGTGTTTCTTGAGGATTTTCAGTTTGCAATGTGAGAGGCTATTGAACATGCCTTTAGTGCCATTAAAATGCTCCTGGATAGAATATACTCTTATAGACTTGGGGGATGACTTCAAAATTATTTAATTGCCCTTCAGGCACTATAAATACCACCCTGTTAGTGAAGACAACTGATGACTACATTTCTTCCATAAAGGTGACCACAAATATTGCACTGGGAAGTGCAGGTAGCTGGCAAGTTTTGCAAGTTTGATCCTGATGCCTGGCAGAAACACAACAGGCAGAACTGCTAATGGTATTTTACTTTTGTTTGCTTGTATAATACAGTTTTAAAAGCTTAAATGTGTTTTTAAATAGGCCCATGCACATTTCAAATGGGACTTCCAAAGTGCAGCAGGACTTCCCCAGGGACACACTGTATCTTGCCATGAAGACACCAAGGAAATGTGATGAACAAAGAATATCCATAACATTTTCCCAGGAAGAAGGCAATTTCCTAACTCATCGTACATAAGCCTTTCATAAAAGTAATGCAAAACTTCCACAGGGCAGGAGAGGAACAAAGCCCCAGCAGCTCTTGCTGTTGCAGTGACACAGCAAACTTGCTTGAAGAGTCCTTTATAAATCAAAACATACACTTAGTTAACACTAAGGCAGGATCCCTCTATTACTTTAACTAGACTTCTAATATTAATGTGGAACACAGAACTTGTGAAGAATATCACGTGAAGGAAAAAAGCATTTATTGCATGTGTATGTCCATTTTCACTGCTATGAAAGGTGGAAGAGAAGGTCCAAGCTGGCAAGGAGGCCCAGCTGGAGGGTGCCCAGCCTCCCGTGGGGAACACTGGGTTAGGAAAGCTCTCCTTCACTGTGCCTCTCTCTCATGAATCAGCCTAATTACTCTAATGAGAGCTGCATCCCTCTGCTGCGAGCCCTGCTGGTTTACAGAGAGGGGGAAGTAAATAAAAAGGAACAATGTTGGCTGCTGCTGCAGGAGGGACACGGGGAGGGAGAACAATGGTCCTGAGTCTCCTCCCTGCCACCACCCCCTTAGGAGGGAGGAAAGAGATGCACAGCCCTGGAGTTATTCCAGATCAGGACTGAAATCAGACGCTGGGCTTGGCAGCATCTGCTGAAGGAAAAAGCACATAAAACAGAGGGCAAAGGCATGTTATTTTCCAGGCTCTGAGAGGATGTTGCTAAGGAAAGAAAAAGGAGGGGATACAAGGCCTTGCAATGTCTGTCCGAGCAAACAACACACCATAAATACTGACCTGAGCTCTAATAGCAGCATCAAGTCTTCACACCTTTGGATTTTTTTAGAGTAAAGGTGGATGTTACTTTTTGTCTCTTAAAATGATGTATTTTGGTTCCTCTTCTTGCTTTGTATATAAGCATTTCTTTTGCAATTGCAGAAATCAGAAACTTGTTTTTGTGTAATGAAATCTTAGCTTATTTACTACATGAATCTGGGAGCTGAGGCTTTAAGCAAACCACAAAGATTTATTATAAAAATAGGAGAGCCAAAATTATGCGCAGCCCTACTCATTGTTGTCTATATTTTTGTCATGCTTCCTCTATTGTCCCCTCTTTATGATGACTGAAACAAATCATTCAAGTCTAGATTGCATATTATGACACCCTCAAAGCCTCCTTGCTATTGTTTGGGCCAAATTTAAAACATTTGTCAAAAATAATTGTGGAATGGCATCAAAATTCATGTTCATTTTGCCAAGGATTTAATTATTTCTATTGTGACAAATTTTTCTTCATGTTAGATACTAATTTATGTTTTAACAAAAAAGATTGGAAAATTATACAACTCTGGCTGTTTTTCTGATGTTCTCCTCTCAGAAAAATTCCTCTAGATGTTGTCAGTTGCTTATTCTCTCTTGATCAGAGTCAGTTTTATTGAAATGTCTTTTCCCTACCCTTTATACAGCATACTTACTTCAATCTTTAGCTTCAGTCTGACAAACTGTTCCATTTCTAAATCACATCTTCAATCCTCAGCTAAATGTTGTGATCATATTTTTGGCCTTTCAGACTCCAAAGCAGGCTCTGCAAGTACTACAAACCCCTTCTGTTCAGTCATCTTCCCATCCACCTTTCCTGCATTCACTCACAGGGAATAAACACATTGTGATGTCTGCAGATCCCTTGGAGCCTCTTTCAGCCCTGAAATTGCTTGTTCCCCTAAGATTCCTGATTCTAGGAAGCATCATGTCAGGTTAATATTTCTTCTGGCAGAAGATAGGCTGCTGCTGCATTGGTGCTGCTTCCTGCTCTCTCTGCCAGGATTCAGCAGCCCTCACTTCCCCTGCCATCCCATTGGGTTTCCAGCTTCTGCTCCAGGAAGCTCCAGAATTCCACACACCTTGTTCCCTGACACCTGCAGATCCCACTGAGGCTGGATTAAAAGCGGCTTCCCTGACAGTTCTGAGTAACCCACAATGACTGTGGAAAGCTGGATGTAGTTGATAAAGGTACTGAGAGGAATTTAAATTCTGTACCTCAGGTACAGAAAGGCAGTTATGTCCTACAGCCACAGATTATGGGGGCCTTTCTCAGAGCCATCATTGCATCTGGTTTGACTGAAGCAGAACATGGTGTGAAATTTTCAATAGGACTTTGACCATTACCAGCTTCAGGCACTGAAAAAGACATACACCAGGCCAAGCACGAAGTGTGAGACTCTTGTTAAATCATGAAAAAGATTTAGAATTGTTTATATTTGCATTTCTGAGCCTTTCTACTTGCTTTGGCGCTTTCAGCCTTTTCTTTACAAGAAACAGAAGTGTAACTTCAGAGGGTAGGGGGAAGAAAGACAAAGAAAATGCCCTGCTTTCAGGAGCCAGGCCTCTGAAAATGTATGCAGAATCCTAAATCTTAAAAACCAGAGCAACACCAAGCAGAGCACAAGACCCACTAACTTTCAGTGAGTCGTGTGGCATAAAATCCTTAGGCACCTATTAAATTCTAATTAATATCTCAAAACTCATTCCAGAACTTTAAGATTAATTTTTGTTACCTTCTTAGCTCTTATACAGGCCACAGCACAAGAATCAGAAGTTTACATTTTGAAATCCAGTGACACTGTACAACTACTGTAGTTAGTTTAAGGGGATTTGTACTCCTGCTAATGAGATTATTTTAACTACAAGTTACATCACAGCTTCTCAATGTAACAATCCCAGTGTAGCAGAGGTAGCACCTAGTAGCTCAAGCAGCTATTATTTATTTAAAAGACACTTAGATGTGGCACTTAGGGACATGGTTTAGTAGTGGGCTTTGCGGTTCTGAGTTAACGGCTGGATTTGACCATCTGGGAGGTTCCTTCCAATTCCAATGGTTCTATGGCTTTTGATATCTCTTTAAAACATTTGGCTGTGCCCTCCCACCACACAACCAGATGCAGAAGTTATTTGAAACAAAGATAAGTTCCATGCAAGGCAATATGCAAATCCTAATTTAAATCTGCAAAGTCAAATTACACTTCCCAATGTTTGGCTGCTTCCAACTTTTTCAACACCCAAAACTATAAATACTTATCAGCTAATCAAAGTTCAAAGGTCATTTTAATGTCTGAGAACCAAGCCTCACTCCAGCTACATCAGTGTGGTAACACATTTAGTAATTCATGGCATTGTAAATCATGGGGAAAAAAAATTGTTCTTAAAAGTTATAGGTTAAGTTCCTTACCTATCTAAGTAACAACATACTTACATAAGTAATATATAACATGTATATACAATATACATGCAATATAAATAAAAAATGTATACTGCGTTATTATGTTTATCTAAAATAAGAAAAGGAAATTTAGACTGAACAAGTCTGAGACCAAAAACCCATGTTTTGGACAAGCAGTACTTGCAGCCAAGAAACTGCACATAGGAGTGAAGTTACTGAAGTATACAAGGTCTGCAATGACAAGCAAACACAACATTTTGTTGTTCCTCTTTTCCTTACAATGGCTGCTTGCTTTTAGAATTTGCATTTTGAAAATTTTTTGACGAAAAAATAAATAAAGCTCACATGGAGCAGCTTTAGCTGCCTCCTATGTGGAACTAGCTTTTCTTGAAGCAAATTATCCCATTTATTATTATTTTATTATTCAAAAGAAATTTTTTTTTCACTCAGCCCAGTAATGATGTAGGAGGGAGCAAGTTAAAAGAAAGAAAAGCCCTCTCACCTGCTACTCTTGGAGGCAATCCTGTTTGATTCAGACCATGGCCAGCAGTTTGGTTCTTTTGTGCTTTTCCTTGTCTTTGATGGAGGCCAATACCAGATACTGCCCTGCCCCAGGTTCTTTCACTACATTATCAGAAGTTTGCCCTTTCTTTGTCAGAAATGAAATGATGTGCTCTAATATAACAGCATCTGATCTGGAGGAACCACTTTGTCACCAAGACTTTGCTACCAGTAAATAAAAATGGGAACCTTTATGCAAACCAGCAGGACTTCAGCCAGCATGAAAATAACTGAGTTACTGTCCTTGTTCAAAAACTGTTTGTGTTCAGCCAGCCCAGGCAGCAGGAAAAGCAACTGTTCCCTAAAACACTGTCAAGGTCTGGGCAGACACTGCTGCTGCCCAGAGACTTCACAGCATGCAGACTTTTAATTGCCTCTCCTCCTTCTCTGCACACAAAGGCATCTGCAATGTTTATCTCTTGCACATCTTAGTGGGGAATAGATTAGGTTGTAAAATAGAGCAGGATTGCAAAGAAAATTGCTGAATACATACAATGCCTTGACATAACTTTTTCCAAGTAGCCTGATTGTGCCATACTCCACTCTGTCTTAGCACATATTTAATAATTTGCAATACAGATCACAGAGCTTTGGAGAAGACACAGCTGACCTACAACAGGTTCCTCAATGAGATCACTATCTGCAAGATCCAGCACTCTATTCCTTTTCCTCTTTCTAATTTCAAGTTATAATCTTTTCTCAAACACAGAGCAAACATTTCTGAAACAAACTCACATCACTCTGAACACAGCCTTAATACAAATTAAATTACAGCATCTCATATAGACCTTTATCTGCAGAAGATTATATTATTTATACTCAATGTCAAACAAAATAAACTTCTATTCTTTAATCCCCATAGCATATCAGGAAAATTCCCCTCCATCCATTGCTTTGACCTACATCCTTTTATTAGGATGAAACATCAGGTGTCTCTTGTTTCTCTGCAATGTAATATTGTCACCCCATCCAATCATAACTTTTGGGGCACTGTCAAATTAAATGTAATCTGTTTATCATGCAAACAATTTTCCTGAGTGTGCCAGAACATGCCTGGACAATATCAAGATAGTGAAAGCATCTCTGACCCACCACATGCCAGAAGAGCAGCATGAAAGTGGCTGCTCAGGAGCTGGGATGCCTTGTCATGCAGGGTCTATCTATGGAGAAAGGAGTAACATATTTAAACATCATCAAGCTGCATGCAACGTGGAGGAAGCAACAGCAAAAAAGTGTGCCTCTAATCAGTTATGCCTATCCCTACCCCTAACACACAGGTTGAGAATGCATAATCCTGTCCATTTATGTCAAAACACCAAACAGGACATGAATCCCTGGGAACCAGTCCAAGTCAGAGCATTCAATTAAGGCTGAAAAAGCAAAGCCTCATTCCCAGATCTGTCCCTTATTTGGGGCAGATTACTACTGAGTGTCACTGTCACTCAAAGGGATAAAGATATTAACATTCTCTGTGAGGTACTATGTGATCAGTTCATTGGAAGCATTTCTTTATATATCCTATATAAATATATGTATTTATAGATGCGTCATTTCTAAACACTTTTAAAAACAAAACCAGCATGGCATAAAACCAAATTTTGTTTCAGTTAAATGGCTGCAGTACAGGTAGTTTCCTTGTGACATTCTCAAAGAAAACATTCTCACATGCACACCATGAATGTGTATGGCAGAGTGCCACGGGAGGCCTCAATGGAATACTTCATTAAAAAACAAACAAACAGAAAACCGAAAGCACATTCCAAACTGAGCAAGCAACACTTCATGCAAATCATTTAAACTAAGGGGAGCCACAGAGTTTGCAACTTGGCTGAAGGATTAAGACTGCATTTGACCAAGAACTTGGTGTACTACACAGTAAGCACCAACAACTTATGGTTTTGTGGGCTTCAGTGGAATGGGGGCATCTGTATTTTTGGTCACAGGTATTTGAACTTGAACAACCTGAATCTAAAGCAAGAAGACTTTAGGCTTCTTAGAAAAAACACTAAAATGTACAGGATTTTAAATCAATATCCTTCTCATGGAGTCATGTCATTAAGTCATGTATCACTAAGATGCAGGATTCCCTCAGTTTCAAGAACAGGTCACACTTTTCTAACAAGTCCAGTGACTCCAGAGTGTATCAGATTCCTTAAGTGTGTCCACAGGGCCAAGTGCTTCTTGGCAGAGCAAAACAAACCTCACTGAGCCCAGTTCTGCAACAGCTACACTGCTTCCAGCTGTACCTGAGCTCCTGCCTTCAAAGACAACCTGGCTGCTATTGGGTCTCACATTCCCTGGGACTGACAGCATGGACTGGGTTTTATTTTTTCAGCTTGCTTCAGTGGGCTGTACAACAAGGCTAACAAGGATGATCCTCTCTTTGCAGATGGTGGTCTCTACTAAAAAGCAGCTCATCTTCCACCTCCTGTTCCCTGGAATGGAGTATCCATTCCACTCATGCTAGCAAAAACATTTGAGGAAGACTCAGTATTTAACAGAAACTACCTTGGAATCACGAGTTACAGCAATTAATCTCACTTACTACAAGGCAGTGAGCAGCACAAATGTCTAGCAGGATTTCTGTTACTGAACAACTGCAAAACCATTTAAGAATTACTGCCAGTTTTTTGTTTTAAACACCTGACAGTGTATGATTCATCCCTGAATACTAACTACATTAAAAAAACATTCAAATAACAAACTCTCTCATGCTGAAATTCAACCTAAAGTGCTCTTACTGTATAAGGAAAAAGAGGTTTTAAAAAAGTGCAAGCTTGCAGAATATGAAGAGGATTTTGTGTCAGGAATTGACAGACATGCCTGATCAGAACCAGTATCCAAGTTGTATCAACTTTTTAATAATCATATAACAACAAAAGTACTTTGATCTAATTCTGAATACAGACAGAGAAATTTGAAAGCCTTTAGGAAAGAAATATGATACTTTTTGCTATGTTCAACTAAATCAACTATATGTTTTTTTTTTAAATGTAAATTAAATTGCCATGTGCTATGATGTAAATAATTTTCTGGAAGTGTTCCCATGTATCCCATATCAATGGAAAACCTCAAGCCAATTATGGGAGCTCTGACTGAAACAAGAGAACCTAGGCATATGAAGCTCAAAAAGCAACACCTGTGAAGATTAACTTTAAAATGCTCTGTGACCAGTCTATCAGGTTTCATAATTTTAAACATTTTTCAACGTTTAAAAGTTAAAAATTGTTCAGCCTCTTTGTTTTATAGTCTCTAACACTCCTGAGGTCTTGATTTAGGCTGGCCAGAAGCTGCATGCCTACTTCACACAAGACAGCAAACAGGGCACTCAACACTGTTCTAAATCCTTCAGGACCAAGTACACACACTCTGTACACGAGTGCTGCCAAGGCTGAGAGGAGAAGCCACTCCATGGAATTTCACAGGCCCTGAAGTGAGGTGTGAGAGAAAGAAGCTCCCATCACAATCAGTGGAATCACAATCAACCCCACCTCCAGTCCATGACAGCCAGGACTTCATTCAAATGCCTTTTCCTGAATATCATCTCTGTCAACACGTGCTTGTTTTCCTCTAATATGGATGAATCCTTTTCTAAAAGCAACATTTTCCCCATTTGTGACATTCAAATTAAGCATAGTTACAAATATCATCAGCTTTGCATCAGGTCACAAACAATGGGTGTGCTATGATCAAAATGCATGTATTTTATACTGTTATTTTCCATTGTGCTGCTAAATAAGATACCCAAGTTTGTACTAAAATTTAGAAATTTTCTGTAGTAGTTCCTGCAGCATATCCATAGTCTTGCACAAATAGGCAAAAAACCCCGCAAAGCGTTCCACCCCACAAGGTCTTGTAAAACTGCTTTTCAAAACCACTACAAAATGAAGTGTTCCACTGGCCCCAATTCTACTAACACCTTATTTTAGTCAATACACACTACAACACTGCACTACTTTTCACACAAACCCCACAAGCTAAGCTATGAATGACCATATAGCTGTGGCTCTGCAAGCTTGAACCCCTCCATGTTTCATCAATGCCTAACGGGAAAGTAGCTGGGTTTTACAGCTGCACACTGAACCAAACTTCAGCAGAAAGCAACTGAGGCAGACAACCATCAAGGACTACTCTGAGGCATCTAATGAAATCCGTGACAGATTTATAAGTAGTTAAAGGGCAAAGAACAAAAAAACTCATCCCAAATTTAAAAAAGGCATAGAACAGACCCCCAAGAAATGGCCATGGTGCCTGACTCCACCCCAGTAAAATAACAGACACTGACAAAGCAATTGGTGCACAAATTTATCAAAGGCCAGTCTGTCCTTCACCCAAAAAAGAAAATATTTACATCTATATATAAAACACACACACATACATTAAAGCTAGAAGAGCACTCTGATTTTAGGAAAATTGCCTATTCATCTGTTAAGAAAACCACCAACACACAAGTAAATCAACACTACAGTATTTATTAATAATTCTTTGCTCATTCCTGAAAAGGAAGAAATTAAAAAAGAAAATAAATTATAAAAAAATAACTGTTTTGTCTACTTCTTGCATAAAACCCCAAGAGTCTAGGATCTGCTCAAAGTTAAGGCAACAGCCACAAGCTACACCTTATCACTGAAATCTCTCCTAACCAGCAAATTCATCTAAGGAGTAACAGATATTGGTCTTCTGCACAAGTCTCATCTGTATGATGAACTAACTGTAGACATTTAATCCCTTGGCTAACAATCTTCTGAATGTTCTTGTTACAGAATTACCAGTTCAGCTTAATCCACTTACTGGATTTGGAGTGGAACACACCTGTACCCCAAGTACAGATGGAAATGTCACTGAATGGTGACAATGACATGATGGAAATGATTCTCAATTCTGAAACAGCAATCCAAGGTCCTGGGCTTAGACTACAGCTTGCTTCATTGTTTAAATGTACAGTTCTTTGGCTATTTGAAGATGCCTGGTCTTCCTGGTCTGAAGAATTCCTAGTCCAAGGAAACAAATCTCTTGCATTCGCCAAAAGCCAAAAACCTGCCAATCCTTTGCCTAAACCCTCCAAGGTCAATCTGACATACAGACTACATCAAGCACACACAGAACTAGAGGTTCTTTATAAAACCTGAGCAATTCCCTGAGGACTGTTCATAGGAGAGCATCCAGGACAGGAAACAACATCCTGTGGGAGCCTGGCAGCACACTTACGCAGCAAACAGGAGGCTCAGATTGCACAGCCTCCGCTGGAACAGAAAGAAATAAAAGACAGAAAAATAAAACAAAACACAGATTGCCTCTTTTGCTGACCATCCGTGGGCTTAAAGGAAAGGGGAGAATGTCCAGAGTGCAGATGAAGCTCAGATGATTTCTGGAATTTGATTTATTGGGTAGCAAGAACTGTAGGCAGCAGCTCAGTAAAGTACACTTAGAGCAGGCAGGAATCAGGAGAAACTCCACCTCTCTATCCTATCCCCTCATGCTCCAGTCTTTCCTAACCAGGACTTCACATCCATATATTGTCTTTATTCCCTACCCTTAAAATCAGGGTGAACCCCCAGTGCACTCACCTCCATTTCTGTAAGGTGATTAACAGAAACTGCATGTGGGAAGTACCTGAACAGCTGGGTAAGCACCTTCGAAAAGAGGCAGTAACGGGGTGTGAATGGCTGCTGGCACAAGCACTTCACCCAGTGCTTCCTATAACCACTTCCACACAGAAAATAACTTTACTCCAACATACCACCCACAAGCAGTTTCTTTGGTAACTGCCAAAATCTCTTCAGTTTACTTGCAAGGAGTCAACAGTCAAATGTTTTGAAAAAACTGTCGATCATTAGTGTGTTAAGTGCTGGGCACATTTTCAAGAAGCATTGCTATAAAAGCAGGGAATCATCAGATCTCTTCCAGTTTTAGCTTCTGTTATTTGGAAGCCAGGTAAAGTTGCCTTTACATAAATCAGGACTTTAGACAACTGATCCAGATGCATTTCACTAAACCTGTGAATCGGGCACAGAGAGGAGTTTCAAAAACTGTCTCCTCACATACTCAATAAGATACAGAACACTCAACACAACAGTTTAGATTAGAAACCCAATTTTTGACTGTAACCACTCCAGTAAAGCACCAGGTCAAACTCAGAGAGTCATAAAAATTCAATACAAAAATTAGGTTAGGAATAAGTATACTTTAAACTTAGGACCTGCCTTATTCCAGGTAGAATTTCTGCTTCAGGCTATCCCTGCAGAGCTGCTGCCATCTGCAAATTACCACTTCACTTCCAGCAATACCTTGGACCAACTAAGTCTGCATGTCTTCTGAACAAAGTGAAGTTGTTAAACAAAAGCTATTCATGTCAAGATTTCTAGTGTCTGGAAAAGCAGTGAAAAAGGTTACCACGTCAATAAAAGGGCTCATTTGGGTAAATACAGAATATAATGCCAAACACTAGTTCTGAGTAGCAGCTTTGCAGGTGCAGGATGACTGCCACACTAGGGAGTTATTCTAAAAACAGCAGGCCCTAGATATCTATTATTTCTCTCCACTTTTAAATGTGAATTCAAATGGAAACTTTAGATTGGGATCACTGAATGGAATTCTAGCAACATTTCAGCTTTTTGTTTGAATGTTGGGAAGCCCCTGAATGTGCATAAGTACTAGTCACCAGTTACATTTTTCCCTTAGTGTTTTTAGTAAAAAAAAAAAAATCAAGCATCTCCAGTTATTTAGTTTTGACACCATAATAAGCTACAAACTAGACATAATAATGGCTGTGAAGTAGATTTCTTTAGTCTTTTAAGGCTTCTCTTAATGCTTCTTCAGTTTTATCAGCTTCACTAGAACAAGAAGCATTATTTATGATTACTCTAGGCAAACAAACCTGTAATTATTGTGTGAGACCAATACTAGCAATTGACTTTACTGTTCTCTATAAATGAGCCTTCTATGATACAAATTGCTTTTCACAATTTTGAGTTCCAGTGCAGCTAATAAGAAGCAGCAGCTTACATTTGCAACTCAAAGTTCTTGCTCTTTAGGTAGTACTTTTCCTGAATCTTCCTATTTCTTATAAATCAGTTATTACTATGAGTCTAAGGGCAGACAGAATGTCATGAAATGTCCAGTCAAATAAATCACTTTTTTGCTACTAAAGAGAACAAAATTTTCGTGTTTCCCCTCAACATAAACCAGGTGCTCCTGAGTGCTGCAGCACCACAACAGCAAAGCCCCTGAGATAATGTTCTCTTTGCACTGCCCACCGGGAATCCCCCAGAGGGAAGCCCTGGAAATGCCAGACAAGTAAACTCTGATTAGCTCAGTCACACTCATCCCTGATGTAGCTCGGCAACCAGAAGAACATAAAATTTGCTCTCTATTATTGATGAAGAGCTATTACCAAGATTATTCATATCTCCATTCCCTCTGTATGTGCACCTGACAGACACACCACTATCAAGTCAGGAGATTTCAACTGCACTTCTTTCAATTGAATTAATTGGTATTGAATGAAGATTTGACAAGACACAGTTTAAAAAGTTACTGTTGTAACACACAAATAAGTGGGACAAAATGCACGTTCACGTACACACACTGCTGAGAGAGATTTCTGCAGAACAGAGAGGTTCAGCAGAAACAAAAAACAGCATTAAATTGAAATTTATGCCATGCTGTTATGTCATCCCTGATCTCTAAGCTAAGTTCTATTTTGATGTCCTCTGTAAGAATGGCTGATAGCTGTAAACCACTTCTCATTTTCTTCTTTCACCTTTCATTTGTACTTCTTTCACATCATTTCAGGGTGTTCATTATACTCCACAATCTTACTACAATTATTTAACAGATCAGTATAGAGCTAAAAGGTACTAAAAAGGCTTTCAGACATTCTATTCTAGCTTTTAGCCAGGATTATTATCTTCTTTGGTCATGTATTTACCTCTGTATTTTTAACTGGACCCCAGCGGTTTTTTAGGACTTTTAGTTGCTACTGACACATTTTTTTACCCCCAAGTGAGTTACTGGTCCAGCCTTCCCAGTGTAGCTGTCTGCACTTGCACCAAACCTGACTTTCACTGCAGCACACCTCCTTTCTAAACAAGGCTTTGAAGAACAGCCTCAGAAGAGGCATGAACCACATACAGTGCTAAATTTTAAGCCCCCATGCCCTGCATTACTCCTGATTTCTCACCTTATCCCTCTATTATTGAAGTAGGCAATCACTGCACGTGGGGCTTTGTGCATGCATCAGACAGAACTCCAAGCTCCTAGAGGAAGCTGAATAGCTCATTTCTACTTGGTGCCAGCAGTAAAGCCTAAGCATTTGTAAAGTGAAAAGAAGTAGCATCTCACTGACTTGCATCCACTAGTTTTCAAAGAATCATTTACTGGGAGCCATTTGAAGTCAACCAATAAAACAAGCCTTTTTTCTAATCCTTGAAGCACAATGGTGTCAAAACTGACAGTCTCCCATCTACCTCAACTACCTATCTGCTACTTTTTGTAGTGTTCAATTAATTAGATTTTTTTAAAGCAAAACGGCAACTTTATTTAATCTATTTTCTAGTGCATTTGAAAATAATAAAACATACAGAAAGACTGGAAGAAAATCCCTCTCTGCTTACACTGTGGCTATAAGGTTCTGTGGCTGACCACATTTCTCACCTAGTGGAATTTTAGCACTGCAGAGTCCAAACATTTGACTGTTTCACGTTACATTGCTTTTCAGATCTGGTGAATGCTTTAAGCTTCCCACTTCCTTCTTCAGGACATTAAGTAAAGTTCTAGAGCTATCCAAAATCTTCATGTAAGCAGCTTCAGTTTCAGCAAGTATTTTATCAAGCTCATTCCGTGAAGCCACTTTTTGGGCCAGGTTTTCACATACACACTCCAGCTGTTCACTGAGGACTTGGATTTCATGCTGGAGTTTATTCTTTTCCTCTTCTGCTTGCTGGATTTGTTTGTTCAATTCTTCTTTCTGCATACATAAATCTTCAATGCATTTCACTAGTTCATTATTGTAACCCTGAAGAACAGCTCCCTGCTGAGTCATCCTGCACTCACTCCCTGAAGTCCCTTTTCAGCAACGGCCTCCTGCACTCAAATGAAAGGAAAATAAACAAACAAAGAAACAGAAAAACAATCCGTAAGATGTTGCGATGAATAATGCTTCATTAGCATATACGGAGCCACAGGACAAGGTGCTCTATTTAAGGTTAACATGCCCATTCCCAGATGTGCCACATCTCTCCCCTTTTCAGGAGGGGAACAGGAGAAAACTTGGCAAATGCTCTTAAACCTTTACTGAAAGCTGCTGGTCCCTATGACACTGTCATGGCAACAGTATCAAAGTACTTGTGATATTTATTTATAATACCTTTATACAATCCTGACTACAGGATGCTTTGTACCACAAACTTCGAGGGCCTGGTCAGAAATAAGCAAAAATTACAGAATCACAGAATGGTGAGGGTTGGAAGGGCCTTCTGGAGACCATCGAGTCCAACTCCCTGGCAAGACAGGGTCACCTGGAGCATCCAAGTGGGTTTTGAATGTCTCCGCAGAGGGAGACTCCACGCCTTTCCCGGGAGCCTAATCCAACACGAGAAGTCCTTTCTCACTGTGAGGTGAAACTTGTGCTGTTTTAGTTTGTGGCCCTCGCTCCTCGTCCTTTCACCGGGCACCACCCCGAAGGGCTCAGCAGACACTGACAGCGACAGGGAATCTCCCCGACACGGCGAGCACCCGGAGCTTCCAAACACTGGGATGACGCGGATGGCGTGTACCGGGCCCACGGGCGGGTGCCGGGCCCACGGGCGGGTGCCACCACCCACACCCCCACGGACACAGCGGGGCCGAGGCCCGGCCCGCGCGGCCGCCGTCGCAGGGACATTTTAACACCCTCCTCGCCGCAGAGCGCGGCCCCGCGGAACACGCGCCGCGCACAAAATGGCTCCTGTCTGCACATCGCGAGCCCGGGCGGAAGGGGAGGAGGGGGTAGGTAAGAGGAGACCGTCCCATTCCTAGCTCCCCCCCGCAATTCCCCCTGTTGCCCCCACCTGCCTGGTAGGATCGCGATTCCTCCCCACCGAGGGAGCGGCTCTGCCAGCGAGGCCGCGCTGCCCTCGGCTAATCGGCCCCGTGCGCCCGCCAACGACCGCGCCGGCCCGTGAGGGGTCACGGAAATACCCGAGCGCTTCCGAACGTGGCGCCGCCCTGACGGCCGCGCGGAAACGTCTCTCCGGAAAAACGCGATGTTTTCCGAAGACAGGTAGCGCTCGCAAGAGTGGGCCGAGGCGGGAGGGGCAGGGAGGGCCGAGCGTTACGGAAGGAGCCGATGTTTTCCGAAGGGAGGGACTGAAGGGCGTCGTGCTTGGCGGAGGCAGCCGATGTTTGCCGAAGGGAGGGACTGAGGGGCGTCGGGCTCGGCGGACGCAGCCGATGTTTACCGAAGGCAGAGTCGCCCGAGAGCAAAGGGGACAGAGGGGACGGAGCGCGTCGGAAAGAGCCGGAAAGAGCCGACGTTGACCGAGCGCGGCGTCGCCCGAGTTCCCCGGATGTAGTTGGAGCGGCGGCGGCGGGCGCGGCGGGGGGAGGCGGTGGCCGAGTCGGTGCTCCCGGTGTGTCTCAGCGCGCGCGGGGCCGAGCTGCCAGCGTCTCCCCTCTCGAGGCGATGGGCCCGTGAGCACCGCTCCAGCCGAGCTGCCCGAGCCGCCCCCTTCCCCCGCCCCTGCCCCCGGAGCGCTGCCGCCCCCGCCTCCCCCCTCGGCGCCTGTGGCCCGGCCGCGGCCGTGCCCTCCTGGTCCCCTCACCCTCACACACACAGGCCGGGCATTGATGGTAATGTATGCGAGGAAACAGCAGAGACTCAGTGATGGGTAAATTCACCCCCCCGGCCCCGCGGGGCCGCCCCCCCCACCCCCTCCGCCATGTTCGGCCCGGCCGCGGGGCCGGTAACGGGCGCTCGCTAACGCCTCTCTGTCTTTCTCTCGCTTTCTCCTCAGCTGTCACGACCGCAGGGGGGACTCGCAGCCCTACCAGGTACCGCCGGGCCGGGAGGAGGAGCAGGGGAGGCGGGGGGGTGCTACTTCAGCAGAGGCTCCGGCGGCCGCTGCAGGCCGCGGTGCCGCGGCCGGCCCGGTCCGGCCCCTGGCGGCGCTCTGGGCCCGGGGCCGCGGGGCGGAGAGGCGGCGGCGGTCCTGGAGCAGGGAACGGGGCCCCGGTGCTCGGCCGAGGCCTGCGGAGCCGGGGCGAGCAGGAGCGGCCTACTGCGACCCGTGCGGGCCTCGGGCCTGGGAGTCGGGGAGGGTGCGAGGGGCGGGAGGGGGAGCCGGGGTCTCCTGCGGTGGAGTGGAGATCCAGGAGAGGTGAATGATTTTCTTCTAAAAACAAAAGGAGTCTTACTCTTCCTCCCCGCTCCCCCCCAGCCCCCTCCCCCAACCCCTCCCCAAAGCCCTTTCTTCTCCCCAAAACTGCTGCTGGGGGCTGTAATCTGAGCAGGGCACGGGTTTAGACCCAGACCAACTTGGGGTTGCAAGTGAGGCTTGATTTCTGCAGTTGCCAGCTGCTGGGCATGTTCAGAAACCATCAAATCCTTGACTTACCGACAATAGCCTCAACTCCTGTAAGGTGGACACTGCACTTTGCTGTGTGTGGTGAAAAAACCCAATTGTCGAGGTTTGAGTCTGTGGAAAGCTGTATGTTGTGATATTGATCTCTGTAGGCCCTGAACTGTTTTAATGCATTTCTGTGTATTTCAATCACTGGAGTGCAGTACGGCAGTCCAAGGCAGCTGTCAGTGACAGTTCACGTAAATGTAAACATTTGCCACTCAGGAGTTCACAGAACCAAGCAGGTTAGAGTGAGGCAGAGCATGTAATTTTTTGGTAAAGACTTTAGAATGAGTTATTACATTACATGTTTTGGCCCTCTAGAATTATTTTTTTTAATTACACGTGTTACAGGGGTGTTAGTACTGAAGAAAACATCACAGAAATTCAAGGTAATGATGAAACTGAGTGGTCTTGACTAGAGTATAGAGGACATATTCAAAGTTCACACTGATTCAGTGTAACTGTAAGTTTGTTTTCCTAATAACAAGTGGAGACTAGTTCTCCCAGAAGTGTGGAAGAACTGGCCAATTTACTGCTGAAAGTGTGTAGTCCATCAGTGAAAAGATAGAGAAACTAGGTTCTTCTTAACAGCAAGTGTTGCCTTGGATGTAATAGTGGGAGAAATTTGCTTAAGTTCTAATTACAGAACTTGTTGCTTTAATGTAGGTAATTAAAACTAGGAAGACTAATGCTGATTTTTTTTTTTAATAGGAAATGAAAATTAATTAACTTTTAAAAGTACTTTTGGAAGAGAAGAGAAAATCCCCAAATTCTGTATCTTAATGTCAGTGCCTGTTTTGTTGTGATGTGTTTCAGGCTCTTAAGTACTCATCCAAGAGTCACCCCAGTGGTGGTGATCACCGTCATGACAAGATGCGAGACACCACGGATCCCTCACCACCAAACAAAATGCTGCGGCGCTCGGACAGCCCTGAGAACAAATACGGTGACAGCACAGGGCACAGTAAAGCAAAAAGTGTGCATACTCACAGAGTTAGAGAGAGGGATGGTGGTAAGTTATCTTAACCAACTTTTACTTAAGCAATCACTAATTTCTCATTAAAATTAGCCAGTATCACTCAGGTGATGTCTTATACTAAATGTGCCTTGTACTCAGCAAGGGTGACTGCAGTGAACCCAAAATGGGAATATAATTGGAAGCAATCATTGAGGCATTGTAACACCTATTAATTTCCTGATTTTACAGCTGTGATAGTTTTCCTTAGAGCCCCAAAGATTAAATAAGCCTTTTTTAAAATAATTTTAACTAGTATGTCTCATTTATTTAGACATACTGCAACATTTGATAACATGAAATAGTTTTCTGAATTTTCATTAGCAATAAATTTTTGCTGTTTTGCATTCTTTTTAATAACTTTGTGTATTGTGGTGCTGTGCTGTGTAGGTACATGCCCCATAGACTAAACCCCATCAGAAATGAAAAAAGCTTCTTTGAATTTAGCTGCTATGTAAAACTCTTAATAGATGATCAAGGGTAGCACATACTAGAGCCTTTCTTGACAGGAGCTTGAAGAACTGTGTTCACAGTCAAGTTAGCCTCCTGTGTTTTTGCAGGTTTATAAACAGTAGTAATATCCTCAGTATTTTTTAATTTACACTATTTTGTATCCCTGCTTCCTAGGAAAAGAGTAGGATTTTCCAGATAATAAACAGTGTTAGGTAACAAACAGCCACAGTTTAGAAAATTGCAGTTGCTGTCCGAAATTGGAAACATTCTTTTGTTTTGTTGATTGGTCTTTGTGTCAAGGTACAAGGTGAAGTATTCAAGTAGAGAATTTGGAGCTTGAAATCAGTGTTTCTTTGTTCTGTATAAAGCTAACAAATTCTGATGTACATACACATTTATTGCTGCACTACTTTTACTTGATATAATAGTTATAGTAAAATAAAGGAAGTATCTTTCAAGTACCTTTTTAGGACATACTAGTTTAACACTACAAATGTGTTCATAGGTACCCAATTATTCTTATAAATCCTATTTGTTTTTCCTTCTTTGACTTAATGCTGAGGCTCAGTAGACCACTGTTAATGTCATGGAAGTCTGTAGATGCATTATAAGAACATGCCTCTTTTGTTAATACGCTGATTTTCATTGTACCTGATAATAATTGAAAGTGTAGTAATCTCAGAATTAAATGCATGTGCAGTGCCCACATGCTGCTATTCTGTGCTACTTTACGGGATACAGAGGTGTCCTCTTTTATTTTCTGTTCACCTGTCCAAAAATTATTCCCACATTCTCTTGCAATTCTACTTAGTTTTGCTACAGTCAGTAATTTTTTCTGCTTGAACAGAGCTGCATTTAGTGGAATCATGCATATATGAAAACATCTGGAGGATGAGGCTCTATATGGGGAGTGCTTCTGCTTATTTGTGTGTTGGAAGTGTGGCAAGATAGGAGAGATATTCTGAAGTCCTTACAAGGTCCAGATGGATTTAATAGCTGGGGAATGGTCTGAAGCATGTATGCATGCATTCAGGATGAAGGAAAAATGAATTATTTGTAGTTTTGTGAATGAAAGGAACACCATCCCCCTGTACCTTCTCCTAGTTGTTAAGACAGTGGAAAGTTTCATTTATTCTGATCTGAAAGCAAGTGTTTTCACATCATGTGTTAACAGACTGGAAGAAGGAAGTAGTCTTCAACAGTCTAAGGGAAATTACTAATTTTAAAAGTTTAACATTTGTACTGTTTAATGTAAATAAGTGATTTTTTTGTGTGTGTCATTAGTAAGGTTAGTTTGGCCGCAGTTTTACCTCTGTAAAATGCAGTCAAAACAACCAAAATTATGTTAAATCCTGTGTACTGTATGTAGTAAACCAAAGCTGAGAAGATGTGGGCAGAAGGGTATTAATTTTTCTTTGATATACTGAATATTTCTGTCAGTATGAATTGAAGGTAGGTGTTAAAATATAGGTGAAATGCTGTAGTGTAATTAGCATTTGCATATTGCTAATAGGCAAAAGACATAATAAAATATTTTGCCATTTTCTGTATTGAATTACTCTGAAGAGTTGTTATTGCTATAGAGTTCCCTTAGTTTTGCAATTAGAGACATACAGTGGAAAAAAGAAAAACATTACAAAAGTGCTAACATTTTTCATCTAAGCCTTTATAGGACTGAGAACTACTGATTTGCTATGATACTACTGTAAATGTCTGTCTTGCTTTCTTTTTGTATTCTTCATGGAGGAAGGAAGAAGCTGAGTGGTTTTTACTTTTTGTAATTGCTGTGCATTATTTTACAATTGGTGCTGCTCAGTTTGAAACTAATACAGGTGTCACTGCCTTCCTGTGATCTAGCTGAACTTAGCAAATCTCATTGAAACATCTCAAGTATTTATTTTCCTAAACTGAATTAAAGTCCCAAGCAAACAATATCTTCTTCTCTCATACCTTAGAAAACAAAACAGGACATAAATTTAGAGTATTACTACTAAACATAAAGCCAATTTAACTTGATCTCTCCCTCTCAACTCGATGTTTGGAAAAAACTCCTATACATCTCTTAGTAATTTTAGCTCTGAAGAGAAACAGGAAGATTCAGTGGTGTAGCACACCGATTCAGTCATGACTGGTTCATGTTTTTGTGGTAAATGCAGAATGTCATTTAAATGTCATTTCAAGATTTAAGTGTATGCATTTAAAATATAAGCAGGAATTGACTGAAAATTAATTAGTCAAAAATGATAGAACCACCTCCTATTAATATCTTTAGTATGTGTATAAAGGGTTTTTTTGTAACAGCTTATTTTTGTAATATTCATGGCAGAATCTTCTGTAGAATTGTAATCCATGGGGAGAAATTCAATTAAGGTTTTAAAACGTGTTCTGGGTAAGCCCTCCATACTGATACAGTGCAAACAAAGCATTTTCAGAACTGCTTACTCCATGGTTTCTGTGCAAAGGGGCTGTGTACAGAGACACCAAGTTTACCTTGGCCTAAACACCGTGGAGTAATTGCAAGTTTTTGTCACATTCCTGGTTTCCTAAGAGCACTTGTGCATGCAGCATATCAAAAAAGTGCCTTAACTTTGTTCTTGCTTTCAGGTCCCTGTGCATGGGGGCATTGTCTCTGTATGCAAGTGTTCAAAACATAATGAACAGCTTCCCCCCCTCAGTGCATCTCTTATTTATAGGTCAGCTGCTATAGGCAAGTGTGGGGTTTGAAGAGATTAGGGGGTCTTATGAGACCAGCTCAAGTGTGAAGTTTCTTAACAGTAACAAATGGGGACTTAAAGCCAGCATTGTTTATGGGGAATAGTACTATGAAGGGCCTTGTAGATGTAGAAAAATGTTTCCATTAAAGAAAAAGGGAAATACAAAGATTTGAGGACTCTCATGCTTGAGGATGGAAGGCTGTTGTAGGTCTTTTAAAATGCATGAATGATGAGATACTGGTGTCCAGGAAAGAAAATAAAGAGGCCAGACAAGTAGGGTAACTTTGGGAATAATGAGAGTGAGATACATAGCTATAAATAGATACAATTTAAAGTAAAAATGCTAGATGCAACCCTTGTTATAAAAAGGGCAGAGGGTGTTTCTGCTTAACTGTATGGAGCAGAATGACCCACAGTAAGATACACAGTAGAACTTTATACAGACAAGGTTTGTTCACTTAAGCCACCTGTACTCAATTGTTTTTTACTATGAAGAAAATACTGCGTGTTTCACGACATTTGCATTTAAGAGACTTTGAAACTTTGCTTCATACCATGGTCTTACTGAATTGCTTAAAATAACAGCTGAAGAGTGTAAATGTACATAGCATAAAATCTGCTGAATTGTGTGCTGTGCAGGCTCTTTTAATGAAATTTGACTATAGCTTGTGGAATTTAAATTCCAAAGTATAATTGAAGCATTGTGACTGTTTCTTTTGCACGTGAGTTGTTTTTTTTTTTTAATTGGCAATTAAGATCATTTGTCAGTGAGCACTGTTACTGACTAATACAGTTCTAAGATTAAAAATCTTACTGCTGTTAGAGGCTGAATGAAATATTTTAAACAATGAGTTCCTATCTTTATCAGAGTGGTGGTGGGAGCTTCTGTCATTCTTTGTTGACTTGCTTTGTTTCCGCTGGTTCCTGAAGGAGTTCAGAGTCCTCATAGCAAAGGGATAGCAAACAGCCCTGAACTGAGAGCTGTGTTGGGTTCCTGTGTTGGCAGCCCTGGCAGCAAAGGGGAACTGCTGATTAAATTAGTGTGAGCATTGGCCAGGGAAACAAACAATGAATGGGGTGTTAGGGCAGCCACAGAGAATGGAAGATGCTCGGGCAGTGGGCTTTGTAGAGAGGAAATTGCAGGGTGGGTGGAAAGAGGCAAGTCTGAGAATGATGGAACATAGTGAAGGGTTCAGGGGGAAGCTGGAGTGGATTCCATCTTTGTAGTTACTGTTAACTGCTGTTATTCATTACTATGAAAACCATTTTTTCATGATAAGTGTATGGGCAAAGCTGGGATGAGAAAAGTCTGATCACAAAGGAGAGTGAGTTCTCCATGAAACTGCTTTGAATATCCCCTAACATCCAAATGTAGATTTAGTGATTCACTTCACTGTTCCTTGAATGTTGGCTTTAAAGGAGGTATGGGTTGACTGGTTTGTTGTTTAAGAAAAATAGAATTGCTTCAAGGATCATTCACCTTTTAGAAGTTTTTCTTTGGATTAAAAAAAAATTGGAAGAGTAAGTTTTTGTTTTCTGATATTTATAAAAGCTTTCTTTTAATTTTTATTAGTTCTACTGCCTTCAGAATGGGTTTTAATTTTAAGTTTGCTTTCAAATTTAGAACTTTTAGATAGAAGGTAGCTTTCCATTTACTCAGTGGATTTGACAATGTTTCTGAGGTGAGTTTTTGTGGCATCAGATGTATAAACAACAGATGTGTACTCTGTTGTGAGGATCTCTAGTAGAAAAGAAATTGAAAAATATGTGCTCATAGAATCACAGTCCAAGATCTGACTTGTGTTTATACTTTTTAAATCTAAAGGTTTA